AAAAAATGAATTTTAAAAATAAGAGTTTTTATTGTTTTGAAAAGCCTAGGAGTAGCTAAAAATCATTTGTAAATTTAAACGTGTCTTTTACGATGATTTAGTCAAATATAAAATAACCTATATTTTCATAAAAAATTCCAAACAAAACAAAATTTAATAATATAAAACTAACTTTTTATCTTGCTCCTTTAGGTCCTATTTGTATGACACATTTTAAAAATAATTTTTGATCTAAAATATATAATATCTGATAATAATTAAATATTTTTTAATTTTACTCTTTCTTGATTAACTGTGAAGGTATTTAATATAATTGCACTATAATTTAAAATTAAGGATAAAAATGAAAATAAATCTCATTCTTTTATGATGATAAAAAAATTAACTTCTTAAATATGAGGAGAACAATTGAAAGTGTTCTGTAACAAAAACGACCGATAATCTACTTTTCATTTATGTAATAGGTTTGACCTTTTACTTGTCCATTTTCCTTTTAATTTAGAAAATATACTAATTGAAACCGTCCAAGTTAATCTAGTCATATTTCACAACTTAATCGCTTGAATTTTATTAGGATCGTGTTATCTTCTCAAGTGACCTCATAAACACACTCCAATAAATTGACTCTGTATTTATATTCACATCAAGAGTGCTTCTTACTACAATTGAGTTACTTGACCTCAACAATATCACAAACTCGAAACAAAATAATAGAACCACCACGCAATCGCCAAAACTAAATTTTGGCCCGTGCATCGCACGAAAAACTTAAGAATTAATCATATAAATTATGTAGATATTTTATGTTTGTATTTATTGGGAGTGATCTTATTTTGTAAATTATTGATTATTTAGTATTATTTTATGTAGACCTGTGTGAAAAAATTTTGAAACATAGGAGTATCAAATATAATAAAAGTAAATCACTCAACTGTGTATTGTGATTTGAATAATGCATTAGATGTGAGAATTGCTGACAGGTTTTACAAGATTGATCTAGAAATTTCTCAACTTTGTTTATGAAGTGAATATTATACCATCAAGGTATATTTATATTTTCTAATTTTTTGGAATCAATTATATATATTGGCTTGAATTGAAATATAACCAAACACATGCTCATCTTAGCAATATTCTCTTTAATTTAACACCATCATTTTTAACATGTTAATTATTATCATTATGATTTTTATTATATTGTATGAGATTTCAATTTCAATAGGTTTTTTCATGTACTATTTAACACTATATAACAATAATGAAGAAATGCAGCGAAATGCACACAAAAATATAACCCCAAAAAAAAAATGCAGAGCTAGCAAAATCGCAAAGCTTCACACGAACCAATAAAGTAAATAACCCATTGAAAGATACAACTAACTTAAACAAATTAAACATAAATTTAAAAATAATAACAAAATGGGAAAAAAAGTTATAAAAAAACGCTGGGGAATAATATCACCACATTCACATCACAAAGCACAAATAATACATGAATGTTTGGGCCAACATAAAACTAAAAAGTTCAAACGGAATTCAAAGTCAAGCCCAATCAACGCATTGATTAAACCGGATACTATAATAATATATTTACAAAATAACTAAATGCATCATAACCAATAGGAAGATGACCATTAATTATTACTGTTAATTTTATTGTACAACAAACAGTAACCAAATTATATTTTACAAAAAGGCCAGATGTTGAAAGGGTGTAAAATAATTTTCACACACTTTATTTGCAAATAATCTACTGAGCATTTCTAATTCAAACATAAATCATTAAGAACCTAGCTGATTTTTTTGGGGAGTATCAATAAAGGACCTGAAAGCATTGATTTTATAAAAGAACTCCTAACAAGTGTTAACAATAATAATAAGTGAAAGGTATTATTTTAACAAGTATCTACTTCGTCAAAGATTAAATTCTTTTGGAGATCTTATTGATATTAGCCCCCCCTTTTTTGTGTCCATCTCTTAATAATGTTAATTCAAACAATAGCACAGTTTTTTCATTGGATCCACGACGTGGCATTTTTCTTTAGGGTTTTAATACCAGCCTGCCTATCAGAAAACAAGGAATCACTACTCAAAATTTCACGAAATAACCAATAAAAAATACAGAAAATGATATATATTTTTTGTTATAGATATGGAAGCAGCGATATACCCTTTAAAACATTGAAAGTTATGGGCGAATTGCATCTACGGACCTCTCCAAAAAAATTATTCACAAACAAAAACTAACAATAAGTTTAATATTAAAAAAAAACAAGTCTCTAGCTATTACCATTTTAAAACAAACAATTTTGTGTCAGTTCTTGTATGTAAACAATTTTTTTTTGGAGGTCTTTGGATGTGATTCTCCCAAAAGTTATTTTTAATTTATCAATGGAATTTCTACAATTTTCTCTCTTTATGTGAGAATGGCACCTTAGGCTAAGGCCCTTAGATCAAAGAAATTAGCATATAAGACCCAACACTTTTTTCATTTATTCTACAGGTCTAAAGGCCTTGCATGTAAATATATTTTTTTAGTGAAAAGACTCATTGCTCCTAATTTAAAGTGTACAGTTTTCCAAAATATATGTACAGCAAAATGTTTGCATATAACATGACAAGGTCATCCATTGATGCGGCAAATTTTTAATAACTTTAGGAACATGAAGAAGTTGAGAAAGTAAATAAGTGCCAAAAGGAGTTGAGAGAAATGGGAAGAGCGGAGTTATCACTCACCTGCAAGATAGTGAGAAGTGTAGTTGGCTTGATAAGCTTGATCACAATTAATGGTGTTAGCAAGTGAGATTGTAATGACTTCCATTGTCAATAATTCATAAACTCAATTAATTAAACCAATCAATAAAGTTAAGGATCAACCTTGGCTGAGGTTAATTTTTATAATTAACTTTTGAAAACATTAGGACCAATGGAATTTCAAAATTGTTGGATAAGGTTGGCATCTAAGGGGATGAATTGGATATTCAAAATTTTTCACAAAGTTTTTTCCAACCCAAAAAGATGATGAACATAGATATGAATCTTAATACAAAAAGCTTTTGACAGATTAAGAGTTTAAGGAAAAAAATTTCTAACACAATAAATTTATTCTGATTTAACCTAACCACTTTGCCTATATCCAATCTTTAAGATTACCCTTAAGACTTTTTACTAAAACTTTAAACTTAATTAGATGCTTGCTGTCATAGTACAACTCATAATATTATATTAGTCTTAATTTCACAATAACACTCGTTACACCAGTAAGTTATTACAATCACTCGTGCTCTTCCTAAAACTTCAAATCAATAAATGTACAAAGCTTTTCACAATGTTAACTCTTTGAAAGAGTAAATATAATAACAACGAAAGCTTATAAACCTTTTAGAGTTTTTTCACGAACTTAACAAAAAGTAGGTGAGAAATCAGTTCACAACACTCAATGTTGCTCAATAATCATGTTACTCACTCACTTGAATAAGGTCCTATTTATGGTTTACCATTGAGAGAGATGTTAGGGAATGGATTATACTCATTGAAGATGTGTGGGAGTGAAGAATGCTAGAAAAAATACTTTTTATGCGTCCAACATTAAATGCTCATCAGAGTACAAAAACATGTGTGGATTGACAGTTTGGCACAAGAATTTGGTCCACTTCAATCCATTTCAAGCGTGAGGCTATAATGAATCATGTGTGTTTTGGAGGATAGAAACACATAGCTTATCCATAAGTCGAAACACGCATGGGTAGGTTCAGGCATAAGCATGAATTGGAGGATATGGACTCTATAACGCATAACACGCTTGACAAGATAGAATTTGGGGGCTCAAGAATACTGCCATCAATATAACCAAAAAAAAAGACCAAAAAGGTAAGGAAGAACTTGAGCACGCCACACACGATAGTTATCGGATGCGAGTTTATCAATAATAAAATTAGAAGGGCTAGGAAAGCACCTAAAGAGTGATTTGAAGAAGATGAAGAAGATAAAGAGGCCATTCCAAAACACTAGTTGAGAAGGCCCTGATACCATAACAAATTAGGTGTAATTTTGCATTAATTTCATTCATAATGATCGTAGGTATAGTGTGGTGTATAAATGGCACACATTCTAACAGAATGCGAGTAGAGAGATCTCGAAACGTGTGATCAGGAATTCAGGATTTACAAACAATATTCTAGATGTACAATGACAGCTATACACTCAATGTTATAATTTAACCCTGGGTTTAGTAGTCTTGGGCTTAGACGTGGGCTTGGATGATTGATGACTTTGGGCTAAATGCTTGAATATATAGGTTTCAATACTGGCCTGGCTTCTGTTGTTACTGGGAAAACAAGGAATCATTCCTCAAATTTTCACAAAATAACCAATGCAAGTTGCATAAAATGAAGTATATTTTTTGTATGTGGGCATTGGAAGCAGCGGTATACCACTCAAAACAATTAAAAAGTTATTTTCAACTGATCAAGGGAATTTTTGCAATTTTCTCCCATTATGTGGATTGAGTTGGAGGACTTACGGCACGAATTTTAATCCGGTTCACGTATTGTTTTGAAACGATCAATGTTCAGTTCCCTCCCGCTTCTCGTGGTGGGGTCCGTGGGGATCACGCAGTGGCCCTACGAAGGACCGTGATAATTCGAATTTTCTCGTGCTAATGATGGAAAACAAGTAAATGCATGTACTCTTTGATTTATGGTTGATGTACCATGCTTTTGAAATTCTTTTACATACATGTTGGGGCGAGTGAAATGGTTGGTATGATTATTTTTGAGTTTCGAGCTGGAGAACGTTCAGGCCCGTTCCAAATCGAAACTTAAGGTGTGAAAGTAAAGAGTAGGCTTACGAAGAAGAAATAGGTGCGTGGACTTCAGTGTCCGTATAGCTTCTGCTTTTAACCTAAAAGCTTTGATTCACGGGTTGATATGGTCAAAAGGGCTGGTTTTCAAGGTCACAGACAGTCACAACACTGAGCTGTGATCGACCAAAAAAAAAAATAGAGACACAAATGGCGCTTCCATATTTTTAAAGTCAGGAATAGTGGCTGAGTACATTGAGCAGTAGAGCAGTACAGACAGACCGCTCTGTGCTACCTGTTAATTTGCCAACAGAAAGAAAAGGAGACAACGAAAGCACAATTTTAAAGAAGTCGCTAGTTGTCGAAATCAGTGAAGTTGAGGAAGTAGGAACATAAATAGCGCGAAACCCCTTCATCTGCCTTCCGGGTGCAACGGGAAAAGCTCCAGAGTTGTATATTCCTCATCTCTACGTAAAAATCTGCTTTCTTCTAACTGAAAACACTCAAACGCCAAGCTCCTACACTTCTTCCTCAACGGGTTATCTTGCTCTATCTCTGCTACTGGGCCCTGCAAAACAAAATATATATCTACACATTAGTTTTTCGTGAAAGAAAAGGATACTAAAGGAAACAAAGATGTATAATTGAGACTGACAACATCGTACGAATAACATACCCGTGTCTCTAAAGTAAAAGGAATGGCAGTGGCAGGCGGAGGACTAGAAGAAGTGGTACTGGTATTAGGGTTGCGTTTCTGCTTTTGTCGTTCACGGGCTTTGTGGTTTTGGAACCAATAGAAAACATTCTTGCCTTCGATCTTGCCGTACTTGCCTAGCTGAGCAGTGATCTGCTCTATCTGCTCAGCATCCGGAGTTCGCATTCCACCCCTGTACAGCATCTCCAATATCCCTATCTGTTCCTGCGTCGGATTCCACCTCGTTCCTCCTGGGTGCGTTTCCACCTGCGTGCATTCGTTCCCGTTAAATTAACTAAACTACAGAGATTAATTCCTCGTCTTTGGACTCAGGAAGATCAGTGCATGCACTTAATTAACATGTAAGAGCACGCACACACCTGGGGTGGAGAATCTTTGTTGACGTGAAGGTGAGGGGAAGGGAGTTTTCTGGGGCCGCTTTCGGGTCTGATGAAGGAGTTGAGATCGAAAGAGGAAAGAGAGTGAGAGTGGGTAGTGTTGTGGAGCTTAGGAGCAAGAGGTCGTAAGCGTTTGAAGCCGAGCGTGAGGGAGGGTTCGTGCTCCCAAATGAGTCCACGTGCCAACTGATGCACCTTCATGCTTCCCATGGTGGATAACTGCATACCATGCCCCTCCCCGAGCCCTCAGACTAATTTTTATAGGGCACCACACTGGGGAATGAGGTGGTGCCTTCACCACCAAATTATGAGGCAAGGTTGACTTGGGAATTCCCTAATACCAAATTACCAATAAATAAAAAAACAAAGAAATTAGATGACACACACATTTGCATGTAGCGTAGGAAAATAAGAGTGAAAGGGAGGGGGCGTGTCGTGTGTGATAGACTGCGAGTGCGGTACTGTGCTTGGCGGTCAAATCGGTGCTTTTTTTTTTTTTTTGCCCCTTGCTTTCATGATAAGGTTTGCATGCTTTTCGGTGGCCTCTCTCTCTCTAAGAAGTGAGAAAAGATTATAGAGGCAAATTCCAAAATAAGATTTGAAAATGGAGCACTAGGGAGTATGCTTTTCATTAGATACGGGTTTAAAATGGAAAAAGAAAATACGAGAGGGAGTGAGAACTGAGAAGGAAGGTGTGAATGCCGTCTTTTGGGTTAGGAGAGGGTAGAGAATGTTGGAACACAGGCTGCACCATATCTGAAAACCATATCAATATCCTTCGGGAACTGTACCTGCCTCCAATTTCCAAAATACTTTGTATCGCTCTTCCTCATCTGTCGCGCTATCACCTCATAAAGCTACGACCCCGCTTATTAATTTTCGACCTTTTCTTTCCACTCCAATTTAATTTATTCAACTTTGTTTGATTATGATTGAGTGCCATACTCCTCCCCTTTTAAATTATAAAATAATTTAAGATAAGATAAATACTAATAAAATATAATAATCACCCTTTACCAATTAACTTTTTTGAAATAAAATTATAAATTTTTAAAAATATTTCTACACAATTAATTATTACATAATAAAATTATTTCAATCGTTTTTTCATTTAGAGGATAATATAGAAAAATTATTACTATTGAAATTTTAGTTTTCTAAATTTTTTTATATTTTAAGATAATTCTTTTACATTATCTTATAATTTAATATGAAAATGGTAGTATATACTATTATACTCATGATGCATTTGATTGAAATTTTTTGGAAGGGAGCAGAAGAGTTGCTCCCCCTCTCTTATTTGGTTTTTGCCTAATAAATGAAGGGAAGGGATGCCTTTTATTTGGTTAAAAAATTAGAGGAGAGGGAGCTCTCCCAACCCTCCCCTTCAATTTAGATTTTTTGGAGGGGAGAGGAGAGAAAAAATAATTAAAAATAATTTATAAATTTTAAACTATTTTTGATGTTAAAAAATTATGTATTGTATTTCTCTCTCTCTTTCTTATAATAAAATAATTTTTATCACACTACAAAAATTAATATATAATTTTTAATGTATAAAATTTTAATATTTTTATTAGATTTACTGATAAAATATAATATAAATCTATCTGTTCTTCAAACTTTTTATTAATATAAGCTCATATTTTTAAAACAAAAACTTAATAAATTATAATATAACAATTTTTTCAAAATAAAAAATAAAAATAAAATTAAAGTCAATGAGAATAAAATGTTTATTTATTTATTTTAGTTCTCTACACTTTCTTCCTAAACCAAACAAAAATTTATTAAAATTCCTTCATTCCTTTCCAACCAAATAAACTGTTGAAGTGCGATGACATTTGAGAGCCGAGGTAAATATTGCAGCATAAAGTTATGCACGTGCAATTCAACATGGCTCATGAGGGCGCAATACTTTTTACACACGTTCGTGTCGGGGTCAAAAAACATGATGTAATTCGATGATTAAAGTCACCCAACTGCAAGCCAAGAATTCTTTTACACATTTTAATAATCACTTTTTCAATTATATATACACATATATATCATAATTTAGAGGGGGCCGGGAAAGCAGATCAATGTTTCACTCTTTTTTTTTCGAATTTCAAAATATCACTACAAGTAATTATGTGATCAGTTATTTCGTATATCGTTAGCAATCTGTTTGTGCATGTATGTGTGCAATATTATCCATAGCCTAGTCAGTAGAAGATGCGTGTGATTAGGCTAGTGGTGGGCGCGCGCGCGAGATCTGCACCTGGGGGATGAAATGTCTAATTTATTAGCTGGAAGAGGGGTTTTGTTAAGAAAACAAAAGGATAATCCAAAAGCATGGTTTGAAAATAATGCGATTAATGGGTGCGTGGACGTCGATCTCCGATAATTATTACTACTCTTAAACAAGGGTCGTGTACATGAAAGAATATGACACACGCGTTTGCTAGCTAGCCTGGCTTGGGCTGGCCTTGATGTCACCCTCCAGAATCTCCTTTAGCTCCCCCATCTTCCTCTTCATAATTCCTAGAATCCCGTCCCTCCTGCTTTCCAGCTCACTCTGATTTTTGAATGATCCTCCCTGGCTTCGCACATGCTCGTACATACTCTGGAGTTCTCATACATATACTCTATAATTTCTCATGCGCATGTATTTAACTTGTTATGATGAGAGCGGTATTCCAGTCTCTAGAAATGGTGGGAGTTAACTGATCGAACTTGGGAAGTTACTCGGGAAAGGCGAAATGAAAGGCAAAAGGTTGGGGACTTTTGTTTTTAAATCACGAGTGTGATTGGGGAGATGTCGCTATGATATGCTACGGACGAAGAATTGAAAGAAATGGTGGAATTTTAACGGACCGCCTGATGACTGTAAAAACTTTATAACTTTTAACATGGTTTGATTTTAATCTTCCTGTATAGTTTTTTTCATGGCCATGTATTTCAAAAAAAAAAAAAAAAAGACAATGGTGGAACAATAATGATATCCGAGTTGACAAAGTTGGGCAATGACGCCGAGGGTGGGGCCTCTCCTCTTCTCAATTTGGCTTCTCATTTTAATATTCTGAGATCCCCGTATCTGATTGCGCCACTTTTACATCGCCTTCCTTCAATCACGACGACCCCACCCCTTCTTCCTACCAATGTATGACACTTGTCATTCCTACACACTTCCACGTCCATCCGCATTGCCCCCTTGCCTCCCTCCTTTCTTAGAACTCCTTCCAGCTAAAATTAACGTAGATATTTTTGGGAGATTTAACACTATAAAATATAAAACATTTTAAAAATATTAAAATTTTATTAAGTAAAGTTATTTTAATACTATTTTTCTTTATTTAATTTCCTATCCCCTTGCTCAATTTTTGTTCCCTTTCCTGTTTCTTTTTAATATATTAGATAAATATTATTTTTAAAAATTTATATTTTTATTTTTAAAAAATATTATTAAGTGTATTTAATAAAATTTATTAATATGTGATGTTTATTAATACTTTCATTAACTCTGCTGTCTGTGATTGTGTTAAGGAGCTTCATTCCTACTAGCATGTCTATTTATTTGTTTATTTTTGCCAAACTAGCATGCATATTTCTAGGGAACAGGCTAATGAGGTTGGATCCGGATGTTCAGGCTTCACGGCAATGCTGTCGTATGGTTGTTTCCACCAAAAAGGGGGGAAAAACGTCAGGATATGCGTAGCTAAGCTAGCCAGGAGGATTTGTCGTTTCAAAGGAGACGAGGTTCGGAAAGTAAATTTAACTTTTGGATCTTAATGGTTGAGAAAGTAGAATTGCAATGATAATCAAGGATGCTTGAAAGTCGAAGAAATTTTTTTTTTTTGGGGGGGTAATATGTCGGTCAAAGGTAAGGGAGAGCAGCACTGGGAGTGGATCCCACACAGTGGAAGAATCGGTGGGAACTCATCATTAGGGGAAGACAACGCCATCATTCGCACGTGTCTATGGACCATGTCTTTCGATCCAATTTTATTACTTGATGATAATAAGAATAATGTAAATATATTTTCGATTCCCATTTATCTGTATTCATATTGACATTATATTGTGTTGCACTCCTATTATATTTTGTCATTTTTACAAATAACTTTTGTACAAATGACTACTATTCGGTAGACATGAAACAATTGTGGATAATTAGACATTTAGACTTTTCGTACCACAAGGCTAGGAAAGACCGCGGTAGAAAAAGTTCATGATTGAATATTTCTAATGGATGACGAATTACTTATATCGTTAGAGGGGAAAAAAGATGTAGCTTCAGAACTCGTAATAACGAGATAAATTTTTCAATGGACGAGATTGGTTTTTAGTCCATAGACTCCAGCGGCAAATTTATCGAGATAGATTCACATAATAAGATTGCGCCGCGCTTTAAAACAGAGAGAAAATAATTCTATGAATTTTGTTGGCACGAGGTGGATAAATACAGTCAAAATTATTGAATAAAATGAACCAGCTAGACAGCAAGCAGGGTTCGTAGCCGCTGTGAGGGTTAATGATTCGTTGAGGTGGAACCTAAACCCAAATAATTTGCGGGGCGATGAGTCTTGAAAAAACGGGGAATGCCCAGAGGGACGTCAAAACGTCAAATCCAGAGAGGGAGAGCAGCGTAGTGTTGAGCTACTTTACTTTATCAAGAGAGGTGGGTGGGTAGGTGAGAGTTGTAATTTATAATTCTATCGTCCTACTCCTAGCAAGTAGTTGTCATGTAGCACGGAAATCTTTTAGGCTGGGAAATCGATGAAAGGGATGGGTGATGCCAATCACCGCGGCCGCTACTAGAGTGAAATCATTGCTTGGCTACTAAATAAAGAGCTAGGTAGACGAGGAGGATTCTCAACTCATGTCATGCATGTACGTGCATGTAGAATGTAGAGTACTCCTCTGTCATGAATTTAGGTACTAGAGTTCATTCGCTTTAGCTTTCGTGGACAAATAAACAGAAGCGAAAGGGATCAATTAATTATGAGGATGATGCGAGGGGTGAAATTGGGGTCATTTCATGCACGGCAAGGTGGGGGCGTGTGCGGAAGAAAAGAGATTCTGGGTCTTAGATGACAGAATGCACCCAAACTTTTCTATTATTCCTTCCCTTCCTTCTTTCCTTTGCCTTTTCCACTTTTACTTTACCTCCTCGTGCTGTTCGCCACAACTCTCCACATGGGTAAAAATCTTCACGACCTCTTCCCTCCTCCAAAGTATATAACCTTTAATCATCATCTTTCCTTCCACCCAATAATTAAATCTGGCTCGCCCCTTCCCCTTTCTTTTTTTTTTATTGTTTTTAATATAAATTCCCAATTGCTTTAAAGCCTCGACTCTCTAATTTCAACCCGTCTCAATAATTTATGCTTCGCACCCAATGCCCAATCCTGAGATTAAAGCTATCTTTCATGTCAACTGTTTTGGAAGGGTTTTTGTCGCTTCTCTTCACCATCCAATCGAAGAACGTACGGAGGGAGATGTCACCCGAGACCCCCTCGTAGTTTAATTTTACAATAAAGCCATCACATCATGTACATGGGAATAGACTGAACAAATGATGGGCCGGGCTGAGTCGGTGTGCATAACTGAAGCATCCACCCATGGTCTGGATGGGCCAGCTCACAGGCTGGGTGGGTCGGACCAAATAAAACCGCTTCATAATCTGTGATATCTTTCCCCAGCCTGACTCGCTCTTTTTTGGTCGGTTAAATAAATTAGATTGACCCATATTAATGATAGTCACCCGTGCATGTTGCTAGGGACAAATTAATTATCACAATAAATAAAGTCAATCGTGTTGTGCGCAATTTAATCTTAGTAGAGTTTAAAGCGATTCACATTGTTTAACAGGAAACCTTCCTAATTTGTACAGGTTGTGGGCACTGTGATTAGCTAATTATATATATATATATATTAAAAAAATCGATCCCTGTAGTTTGATTCAATCAAAATTACCGGACATAAACATTCGAAGCACATTTTATTGAGAGAAATTGGGTGTGATAAGCAAAGGATCTATAAGATTACCTCCACCTTAATTGAAAACGCCTTGTTTTTGTCGGAGAAAAAGGGAAGATGAAAGCAGGACATTCAGTTATTAGTTGCAGTAGAGGCTACGACTTACAACACCCGAGGGCGTCCTCCCCAGTGGCAGGCGCGGCTCTCCCGAGCGTCCTTCGGATTTCCTGAACCACATCATAATGGCCATTTGTTTGACTCTGGTCTTGCAAAAGCAGTTGTATAACGTTGAGCAAAGCGCGTTCATCCTGGGAGAACTGATGCCTCTCTTGTATCAAAAGCCTCCTCACTGATGTCGATTCAACTGTAGTCTGATGAATCATTTACTGCCAATGCCGATATAATATTTCTTTACTATTTTAATCAAATTCTCTATGGTAGTTGTAGTCCTGGAATTTGCTTCCACGAGTCCGTTCCTCGCACATTATGTCCTACAAAAGTGCAATCCCCCTCCCCCCGAACCAAAAAAAAAAAAAAGACTCTCGTTGGATGAAAGGGACTCCTCTACCAAACGAACAAGCCCCAAGGAAACATCACCAGTTGCCACGCCCGTACCATCTCTCATTAACTCCCACATAATACGAAAACGAAATGCAGATCGCGTCCACATATAAGATAATGTTGAACGCGCATCACTATAGTCTGCGTAACCTTTTCTTTTCGGCTCACTTACAATCATTTTTTAGGCACGATGGCATTTTTCAGCAAGGATTCTTTTCGGCCTACTTTGAGTGGAGGGTTTTTAAATATTGTTAAAAGTAAGGCTTTTTAGCAGGGATCATTGGGAGCTCACAAAGAAGGCGCAAGAAATAGAGTTGATGAAGATGAAGTAAACGGAGTGGTGTTGCGGTGCAGTTGATGAACTGGGTATTGATTCCAATGGAGTTGGAAGACATATAATTAGCAATTGTCTTCTCTTATTGGTGGTGACAGTATTGGATGCCCGCCCCAAAATAATTGAAGGCGGCTCACGCAGCGATCAGTGGGCGCATAAATGTGCAGCCTCATTGGTTTTAGGCTCCTAGCCCAACAACCACCATGATGCATCCCACACTATTATACTCTATATAGAGAGAGGCCACCCACCTGTTCGTCACCATCAAGCCTGTCCCTTACCATCTTCATACCACCTCTGGTAGAATCGACTTTCTTACATTTCATTTCACTACCCCCCGTTCCTTTCATTTTTTTGTACCGCACAAATAGATACTACTCCAGATATTATCCACTCTTTATTTTATTCACATTCTCTACTGTCACCTCTACATACTTCACGTGCACCATTGCTTGTATCTCGCCACTAAAAAAGACAGAATAATTCATCATGCACATATAATCCCTTTCATACCGGAAATCTCACGGAGTGCATTTGCTGGTTTGTTCCCTTGCTTTTTTTTGGGGGGGGGGGGTTAATATAAAAGGATAAACTCGAGGCATTCTAATTTGTTATCATTTAAAAGAAAAACGATTTTTTGTTTTCCTGGTTCAGAAGATAGAGGATCTAATAAAACATATTGAACACGCCCAATAATAAAACATATTGAACACGCCCAACAAAAACGGAATTCACTTTCATGCATTAGTTATAAAACTGGGGACTCTAATAAAACAATGTAAGAAATTAATTTATTCTGATTGAAACAATTCTAATTGAAAGAAGTGTCAATATTTAATATCTAACTGTGTACTTTAGATAAAAAAAAATATGGGAGAGTTTCGATTTATACAGAGTGGAACTCGCTTTCATGTATTAGTTATAAAACTCTGGCCTCTAATAAAACTATGTAAGAAATTAATTTATTCCAATTGAAACACTTCTAATTAAAAGAAGCATCAATACTTAATAATGTAACCATATTTTAAACAAATTACTTCCGATAAACAGACATGGGAGAGTTTCTCTTTAGTTTTCGTCGGGAGAATACAACAAAATCTTTTGACAAGGGGGAATTTGAGAGGGCAAAGCATGGGTGCTTTCTATATATTACATGTTTGTTTATAAAATTTGTTATTTTTACTTGGAAGAAAAAAAAGGATGAAACTAAACCGTTCCCCCACTTCCACGAATTATTTTATTTTGGCCCCCACGAGTTAGCCTCTGGATCCGTCACTGTCCTTGGACAATGATCAGTGACTTGGGCGGCCGCTCATAGTGATACATAGCACACCGCCAAAATGGAACGCATGCAGCGTCATGTTTAGACATGTAATGTTTTCGGCAGATAATTCACGTGCTCACTGTAACGATAACCATGAATCCTTTGACTCACTGATATTCGTATATACTTCAACACACAATTCCAATTTTCTTTAATTCGCTTCTCCCCCAATTGATTATTTTACCAGTACTTCTTGGCACCCAGTAATCCATTTATTGTTCATCGTTGAATCCATCGCTTATAATATACCAGAATAACGCAGGATCTGGGTAAAAAGAAGCAACCATAACAAGTCATAATTAACTTTCATTAGATCAGGACTATGATTTATACAACATATAAGTAAATTTTCACTATGATATCAAAATATCTCTAATAATTATTATCTTTTGCTGTGACTCCAACCATTACAAAATCTGACTATAAACTGTTTACTACGTAAGATTGATCAAGTCGAAGTAGGTGATAGAGTTCCTAGTTGTTTGTGCGGTTTCGACAATTCCGTCGATCGCGACAGCTGCTTTTTTTGGTGCCCGCCTGCCTTATCTCCTTATCCACTTGTGTGTTACTACATACCGCTGCGTCTCGGCTTTAGCATCTGCAAATGTGGTTTGATTCTTGATTACGCCACTTTCCCCAGCTCATTTTACTTATTTAATCATTTATCTTCGTCTCTTACCCATTAAATTCCATTGTACATATATAATTAATATATTATGTGTGTATATGTGTGAAATAAAATCATCTGAGTGATTTTTTTCTAAATATTTGAACTTGTAAAATTTAAATCCCATATGTATATGGTCACGCAGATAACATGGACAATTTATAAATAAATGCTCGGTTCTCAATTGATCAGTGAAAAAAGTTGCTTCAATAATTAAACAACGTGGTTCACTTTGACCACTATCTATACTGGCTTATAAACTCACCGACCCACAACGTTTTTGTTCAATGTTCAAGCTGACAAAAACCACACGGCCTCCTCTGATCCGATACAAAGAACATGATTGATTCCACACCGACCTGGTACTTCTGCCATCTAGATCAAGCTAACTATATCCCTTCTTCACAAATTAAGTGGAAGAAGCCGAGACGCTAGAACTTAGATTCAACACAGACGACATCACAAGATAATTATCCGAGAGGAAACATAAAGTAAAACATGGGAAAATTAAGTGACCCGGGGGGCTTGAAATCAGTGTAAATATATAGTGATCTAATTGTAATCCTCGACTGCAAGATCTTCGGGTCTGGGGAACTCATTCAGGTCGGGTTTGTCGGAGGTGGTTTGGAGATGGGATTTGGTGTGTTCAAGAGCGGCTTGGAGAGCGTCGACTCTGGCTCCGACTTCGGTGGCCTTCTTGCGTATGGAATCGGGGGACATGTGGCCCTGGACGTCGAGGCGGTGGTCGTCGTCGTCGTCTTGCGATAACAATTCGGGGAAGTTGAGGCGAGCAGAAGGGCCTCTGAGATAGAAAACGGCGGTGTCGTATGCGCGAGCGGCAGCCACTGGTGTGGTGTAGGAACCCAACCATAGCCTCGACCTCTTGTTGGGTTCTCTGATCTCCGCCACCCACTTGCCCCACTTCCTCATCCTAATCCCTCTGTACGGTTTCTTTCTCGATTCATCTTGCTTTCGCTTCTCCGCCTTGTTTCTCATCACCGTCTTCCTTCTGCAACACTCTGTTTCCTCCGTCCGTATCGCACCTGCCTCACTTACGCGGTGACAACGAATTAAGCTATAATTATATGGCATGATACCCTCTTGTCCATATAAATATGTGTGTGTGTATATGGATTTTCTCTCTCGTCTCTGTATATATATAATAAGATAAAAAGAGGCGAAATGGAAGTAAAGACTTGGGAGAAATATGTTTCTTCAGAGGCGGAAAGGACTTACTCTTATACTCATTTTATACGGTATTAATATGAAAGGAGAAAAAAAAGGTATAATCATGGAGATAATAAGAAGGGGGGAGAGAGAGGGAATGAACTTCTGACTTGGCTGCTAACGTGTCGAGGGAAGAGGGGACCACGTTGAGTGTTGTTTTTTAAAATCCAAAGATGGCCGACACAGCCCATCAGAGCCATCCCTCTTTCTCTCTGTTGCACATTCCACGTAGCATGTTGGGCCCCGTTATGACCGCCGACGTGGACGGGATACACTCCTACCGCTTCCTACATAAACCCTTAAATGTGTGAATAGAAAAAATATACTTACAAATCCTTATACTTTTATTTAATTTTAAATTTAATTTTTATAATTTATTTTATTTTAATCAAATTCTTATAATTTCATCTATTATATATGTTGACCCCTTAAAGGTTAAAATTAATAACAAATTATTAAATTTTACAGAACAAAAATACTCTTGGAGTTTTCAAAATATTTAATTTAATACTTTTAATCAAAAGTAAAAATATTGATTTAATTCACTGTTTATATTTTTATTATATATTTAGAAGAAAACCTAGTTATTTAAATTTTGATTTATAAAAAATATGTAATTAATTTTAAAGTCATATAATCATTTAATAAAATTATAAAACTTCTTAATTTTGTTTTTTAAAGGAAATATGTAAAGATTTTAACTTTCAGGGATTAAAAAATTTAATTGATTAAATTATAAAGGTTCAATTAAAATAAAATAAATTAAAAAAATTAATTTAAAATTAAGTAAAACTGTAAGAACCTATATATATGTTTTCCTTTTATAATATAACTATTTGTGTTTCCATCCCGTTATTCTGTTTTTTGCTGCGTTATTTAGGGGGCGGCGGGGAAGCCTCCCAGGTCGGCGTTCGATATAAATGGATCGGTGTATGGCTATTTGTCTCTTGTGCCTGCTGATCTTTTAAATTGTCGTCTTCCATATAATTAACTTCTAAACAGATTGGTACGCCATATTTATCTTACAAATATATATTATCAGCTTTAATTCTAAAGTTGGTTAATATATAAAAACATTTCTTCCTATCAACATTCGACTGAAGAAATGGTGTATATAATTAAACCAAATAAAAAACTAAATACAGTGTCCTGTATATTAGACGCATGACATTACTTATACGCCTCATCTTTATCGAGTTGCCCAGTTTGCTTTCTGAAGACTTTTAAAATGCAGCAAATTGATGTTCCTGAGATTCCGATATACGTGAATATAATAAGGAGGGATAATTTAGAATGAAGGGGCGAGGGATAATAAAATAACTAATTAGCGGGGGAAGGAGGTCGGTGGAAGGTGTTGGCTGTTGGAAGTGTGAAAGGATCACTTTCCGTCCACGCAATACGAACCTGAGCTCTGCGATATCGCCCTTTCCTCTTCCCACCCCTTTCAAACTTTATTTTTTATTTTTTGGCCAAATCATCCTTCAATAATCTCCAAGATCATGTTTGATATGTAGATAACAAGGCGCACCTACACAAACTAAGCAGACGTCATTACATTAGATGCATCATGCTTGTACAGTCTATATACGAAGCATCACAATATTGATATACAATACAGGTTTGTAACTATTGTCTAAATGTCTAGTGGGGTGGTGAATTATAAGGAAGATGAATACAGGGGGTCAGAGAGTGAGGAGGAGACCATACTGAGTGGTTGCGGCAGCTCCAAATGAAGATGCTATCGTATAGACCACGCTTACTGGAATAAAATAATGGTGTAATGGAATGCTAATGATGCCAGGCGTCAGATTCAGAGGGACGAGGGATGGAACTTGGAAGGGGCAGACCAACTATAAAAGCCGGGCCATCATTAGGAGCGTGTACTGAGAGCAAACATTCTCTTCTACTGTTTGAGAATATCATCACGCCATTGTGGGTAGTAGAAGAAGAAGGATGACGCAATACGGAGGGAGCAGTGTCCCACTTACTGCCAAACATGGGAAGGGCGGCTAAATCGGCAGTCCGATAAATAACATCACGATCACGAGTCATTTGACCCTACCATGTACCGTCCTTGCAAATTCTTCCTACCAATTTCAACTCAGCACCCAATTTTAGCAGCAGTGTAAATGCATGAACTGCCTTTTCCCATTGACGGGCAACTTGCACTAGTGGTAAGAGACACATGCCTCTCTATTTTTTTTTTTTAAATAAAGTGTAAGTGTTATATTAAATTGGCCATCCCAAAAAATTATATACACTGCTTAACTAATTAATTATGAATAGCTGTTGTTGCTGCAGGTAAAGAAGTAGTTGATATACATTTATATTTTTCAAAGCTTGAATATGATTGTTAATTTTGTGTGTTGTTCTTTTAAGTAAGTACAAAGATAAACTATAAGATCTTTTTGCATTTCTAATGGAAAATTTGATTGGAAATGAATTACAAGAAACTGACTTGCACGTTCTTCTCAAACAACCAAAACCATCATGAAATCACATACTTTCTTGCACCAATGACGCCCCCAGAATATCTCATCTCCACGTTAGACTTGTAACTTGTTTACCCGCATTCAACGATTATGACAACCCCTCATAACAACTCATCTTCCACCATCATTATGCATTTTCAAATGCCAAAATAAAAAAAAAATCTAAATTGACTGATAGCATTGGGTAAGGGCTGCCTACTCCAAAACACCACAAAGGCCATAATGGGCTAAAAACCTAAAATAAGCCTTGAGTTGCAATACTTGTTCAGCTTGTAACCATTTACACATTGTAACCTTTTAGTATTAGTCAAATACTTATTCTGCCAATTCTTGTGTATCTTTGACATTCGGGTAAACTATAGTGAGGGAGCTCGGAAACCATTTGTCATCGATTAAAACTCAATGTCTTTGGCATGCTCGTAATTTGTTATTTCTCATTAACCTGTGTAACAAGATGTTGAGGACAAGGACAAAAAGATTGATGAAACAAGTGCTAGTTCTCACAAACCATAAGGAAATTTTGTTCTCGTAAGTTTAGAATCATTAATACTTGATGCTGAGACTATTAGATATCGTGAGCACGTGGTGCCGAATGTCAAGAAGTAGCAACAGCACGAGCCTTAAGCCAAAACCAAGAAGTGAACATGTAAATCCACTGATTATATCCAACAGTCCAGTAGCAGAAGTGCTATAAGAAATCCAAGATCGCATGGATAAACAACTGAAGGAAGATCATTCCAAAAACTTGAACTTTGCAACCATAGTTTTTAAGTTTATTAGTTTAGTTTTATTTTCATTCCAAACTTATAACCATTTACACCTTGTAACTTTTTAATATTAGTCAAACACTTGTTCTATTACTTTTTGCTTGCGTATCTTTTGCATTCGAATAAACTATAGTAAGGGAGCTTGAAAACTATTTGTCATCGATTAAGAATCAACATCTCTGACACGTCAAATAATTTGTTGTTCCTGACGAACAATAAAGATTAAAATATAAATTTATTTTTTAAATTATTTATTGTATAACTATTAAATATGCATAATTTAGAAAAAATTTGGTATTAAATTTTATTTTTTTATATTTTATTTTCTTTGTTCAATATCCAACCAACCCGAATCGAATATCAGGCTCCAAGCCATCCTGAGCAAAGCAAGCCACGCGTCCAATCATACCGAGAGGTTCAAGTGATCCCTAGTCCTCGTCCTGGTCCGGCCCAACCCGGTGCGACGTGATCAGCGACCACTATAACTAAGAACATTTCCAAAAGATAGTACAATGTCAGAAGGCAGCCATCTTCTGACGAAAAATAAGTACGTGAAACCATTATTTCAAATTTAGTATGACTTACCCTTGAATCTTAGCGTGTGTTTGGATAGAAAAGAAATGTGCATTTTTAGCCCACAATTGATTTTTTAAACAAAATTACCCAAACAGTATAAAAACGCAAAAATTGATTAAACAGGCAAAACACGCGTTTTCTCATAAGCTCCTTCCATCCGCTTTCTGCCAAAAGTTTATCAAAAACATTGAAAAAAATTACAAAGATAGGCCCAAGAAAAAGTTATAAAAAAAACACATAATTTAATAAAAATAAAAATAAACTCTCTTCTTTTTCCTTTTTTTTTCTTAATAAAATTTAAATTTTGTACCTCCAAAAAATTAATATTTAGTATTTAAAAATTGAATTATATATTAATTTATATAGTTAAAAATTAATTATGATTAAATTATCCAAACATCTTCAATTCTATTAAAATCAATTTAAAAAAAACAGTATTCAAACAAATTGCATTATAACATAATCAATTATGATTAAAATCTATCACTTAATTAATTATTTTCATAATCTATTATACCTAACTGAAATCCAAACGGACCCTCGGTCATCAGGAATAATCAACCAACGGATGAAGAAAATTAATCTAAAAGGTCAAAATGAACTATAAGACAAGATTGTCCAGCGCCAACTAAAAAAACATAGAAACAAATTGAAACGTAAAATGGGAATCAACAATTACAGCTCATTTAGAACAGAAGATTGGAATTATTTACGTCCGAACAGTGGCAACAACTTACATAGTGCATGCAGCACAATAGAAGCAACTGTGACCAAAACTGCATTTTCAGAAATCTATTTGAAAGGCTATCAAGTGCCCATATCTCATCAGAGCCCCAATATGACCTTATGAAATTCAGTGAAGCAGACAGGGTTAAAGAAGACAATGTCTACAACCATGAAATAAGTAATCAAAAGCGAAAACGCAATCAAGGTATAACCTAATTTACCATCATCGTACAAATATGAAATAACAGCTTCAACTAGATACTTCTCAAGATTTGTCACCAAGCAACTAAATTCAAGCCGTCATTATGTACAGTCATATCTTTGAAGGTCCTTATCACCATATCACCATATCCCCATAGCCGTTTCTAAAAGTTCCCAACATGAATCAGATGGGTGGATGTGGCCCAAAAACAAC